TTTCATTTCTGGCCTAGGCTAGTATTTCCGAGCTACCGCGGTATTTCGCGGTAACTTTCCCAGCTGACTGAGCTGCATAGAGTAATTGGAAAAACCTTGCCTTGGGCATTGGATAATTAATACTCCATGCTCGCGGTAGCTCGCGGTAGTCAATACACGCTCCATTGAGTAAATCTTGCTATAGCTGATTACCGCAGTTAGCCTTGCTACCGCAGGAAAATCTCCTTTACCGCGGTAGGATAATTTGGCGACGCTCCCTTAGTAACTGTATTTTTAGGGTTGGGTTTTATGGTTTGTATAATGTACAAGATTAAAATATGAACGATAGACATGTAAATAGATGAAGAGCTATGTTCGAAAAACGTATTACTTCGAATAATGAAAATATTGGCAATATCGTACTGTACGCTTTAGCGTTATTATGCATTTGTGTATACATTGCCTTTGCAGCCACTCTCCTTTTATAGGTAGATAGAACGTATTAAAAACAAATTTTATACCCACAATATGTTTATTAAAATTTTTAACAATTTAGACAATAAAATTAATTCACGCAGTTCTGTATTGATGCTTTTACTTTGTCATTAATTGAAATAAACTGCTTAAAATAGGCAACAAAATACAAAGTTGCCTACTGCAAGTTGCTTGTACTGCAAGTTGCCTAGTAATAGTGAAATCAGTAAGAAACATTCCAACAAGTAGGTTCTCACAACGCTATTGGGAGAAGCAGACACAAGGTCAGTCACCTACGTAATTTGATTCTTTGTACGCCGCCAATTCAGGAATGTAGGCGTACTGGCCGCGAGATAGCCGACTGGCTTGTTCTAGCCTACAAACATGTGATATATACTTTTTTATTTGCTTTTGCTTTTAAAACTTACGAGGTTGTATGAATAAATTCTGAAGACATAACATGGATGAAGGAAGGAAACAGATGAAACATGTGCACCTATTTTTCTAGAGATTTGAATTGGTTTTTGATGTATCCCCGCAAAATATTTTAGAAGTGGCAAGTTTTTGAATTTATTAAGATTTGCAGTAAACAGGTTAAAAAAAAAAAACGTACGCTGCGCTATACTAAGGTCGCCCAAATAATATTTACATGGTAAAATACTGTACAGTCCTGGCTGATTGGACTTGGTTAGAGCATGGAGAAAAACCTCCATGGTTAGAGCAACGCGCAAATATCAGAAAGAATACGGTACTGTAGTTGATCGTGGGAATCAATATCTTGCATGGGAATGGGACGAGAGATTTTAAACACGCAATAAGAAAACAATCAAATAACATTCACATACGATATAAATGATATCAATACATACCGTATATTTCATTTGTATTTCTTTTTATCATAAATTATTCAATTTAAAAAAAAGAAAACAATTAGGCTGCTATTTAGTTGATCGCGAGAATCCACCTTGCTACAATCAAATAGCTGGTGAGGGATAATGCCCATATGGCGCACCATAAAAATGCCTCGCGGCTGAAGTTGTCGGCGGCCGAAGTAGTCTTATCCCAAAAAAAGTATATGATGGGTATGCATGGTCATAGTCGTATGGTTCTAAATAAAGCATGCACCTGGGTAGGGCCCCAGAGGGGGGCGGCGCCTACTTAACCTAGGCCTTTAGTAGGCCTTGGCCTAGCCTGGGATTGTGGGCTAGGCTAGGTAGACCCCCTCCTGAATCCTAGGCAGTTGGATGGCGTAGACCTAGGCCTACATACAGTAGGCCTAGGCCCAGGCCTACAGTACTGTTAGTTTATATAAAAACATAATCTTTACCATAATCTGGGTTTGGCTCAACAGTTTTAATACGAAGGTAGTTCCTAAAATTCGTTACAGAACTCTCCTCTGTTTTTGTTTTCTTTTTTGCGTTCTGAACTGACATTTTGTTTTAGGACGCTTTATACCTCATCTGCACTCACTCATCGCACACAACACGATCAAGCCATCATCATTCCAGGGTCGCTATACATTAATATTCATGAAGTGTGAACTATGACTTTCCGACTCAAAAAGTCCGCCCCCACCGACAAGAAATGAATGACGTCACGTTTGCCTAGCAACGTCCAAAACAACTCGAAGATGGGGTAAACATCGAACTGCTGAAGTACTTCTCTCAATCGATCGTCAACGCAGTGTGAGATCGTTTCTCCCGTCTGGAAAAACTGCATAGCTGTAGGCCTAGGCTGGTCTAGAAGTCTTTATCGATAAACTTTTAGGATCGTTTTTACACATATTGCAGCAGTTCACAATGTATAAGCTAGATCTTCCAATAGATCTGAAAGAGCAGGCCGCGACTGAGAGGCGGAGAAACCTTGAGCAACAAAGACAAAGTAGAATTTTTAATTCAAAAGTCAGAACGATTGGCGTAAGTTTGTTCGTGTTGTGTGTTTGTGTACTAGCTAGCCTAGCACTGTATGTGTAGGCCTAGGCTAGGCCTACGTAGTTTAGCTTCTCTTCTAGACTACCTAGGCCAAGTAGTGCAGAAGAGATTGTGGTTTAGGACAGATGGCCCAAAATTGTGCTGGCATATTTATTAGAAAAAAAGAGCATACCATAACCACTCTTTTTTTCCACATTTTTTCTCCCAGTTTTAAATCTTCAAAAATCTAGGGCCTAGGGCCTAGGCCTAGGCCCTTTAATTCATATCATTATCATTAACCATTCCAAAAAAAAATCTGTAATATAAATTTGTTGTTTCCCTCCAGACTTTAAAGACTGACCGACAACCTTTCTCATCCGTCATCGCATCAAAAGATGGAGGGAGGTTCATCCTTGGGTGTGGGGGAGGGAGGGTAGGGATTCCTTCCCCTGCCAGTGCCACGACTGTAATGCGCCTAGGCCTAGGCCTAACCTGTACGCGGTACTCTAACTAAAAGTGTATACATGTTTAGCCATGTTAATGAAATAATGCTCTAAATTCATTTGTTTTGTTTGTACTACTGTAGCCCCAAAATGTACTGAACATACACGTTGACTCCATAGAAAATAAAATAGTTAAATTTCAAAACTTTCACTTTTTATGTTCCAAAGGTTGATGTCCAAGCCTTGAATGAACAAGTACATGACCATAAACTACGTTCACAGAGAGAACAACAGCGACATGAAGCATTTGGTAATTATTAATGATAATATTATTATTATTTTTGAATAATTGTTTTCTATTTATTTAGGCCTATGTTTATTTGACAAATGATATATATATTTTATCATTATTGTTGATATTTGTGATATTTTTAATGTGTTCTGGGAAAAACAACTTGATAACTGATTATTTAGTGTGCTTTTTAGTTTTCCTAACTCTTGTTGTTTCCCTTTGCATCTGTTCTTGTCATTATTGTATTTTTAGGGAAATAAATCAAATGAATCTATTATTAGTAGAAGCGGTTTGGCGCAGCGTGAACGGTTTGGTTTCCCAACCTCGAGTTCGGGGTTTCAATCCCTCGCTGTGCATTTCTCTTGTGTCCTTGAGCAAGGCACTTTATCTACATTGCTTCAGTTTACCCAGTTGTATCAGTGGGTACCAGCAAATTGTTGGGAGTATTATCTTGCGGTGGGCCAGCGCCCCACCCAGTGGGGAGTATTACACTCTCATCCGCTTCACGCTACAGAAACTGGGGAAAACCGGGGGAAACTTTGGGAAACTGGGCGAAACTGGGAATAAGCTCCAGCCCTATGAGCCCTAGTTGCTCGACAAGGATTTACTTAATGCTAAGACTTATAATGATAATAATAATTATTATGACAAACCTAATAATAGGCCTAGTAAAGAATTTTATGTTGTAATAATGTTGCAGTTTGGTTTTCAAAACTTACTTGAACAAGTAATGTTTGTCATCTACATTGTTATACTATACTGTACTTTAATATATATTAATATACTACCTGTGCTAAAATAAAATTAAGTCGTTAATAAATACTA